TTTTGTTCGCTAATTTCTTTTATTTTCTAGTTCTGAAAAATCACATGAAAGGATACGTATGTGTCCTGCTATTTTCTCAAAGTCAAAGGACCCAAGGGTCTCCCTAATAAGACGACAACCCAGCTTCTTGGTAAGACAACCATGATTATGCTAGAACATGGACTTGGTCAATAGCAATTAACAATGCTCGATCTCCATTAAATATTATTTATTTTATTTTTCCTTTATAAATAATATATATATATGTATATTTATTTATTTATAAGTTCTTTATGCAAAGGGTTTCTATTTTTTTTTTCTCAAAAAATGGAGATTAGGTATAAGATTCACTCCACATCAAACTTTAATGATTCCGAACTATTGATTTTGTAAATTCGATTCATAAATCATCATTACAAAAATTCAATTCAATTTGAAACTATTTGCCTATTTAATTATCAAGATAAAATTGCAGCAACTAAATCTTTTTTTTTTTAAAACGATGATCTCTTCCCTTAAAAGCTTCTTTTATATATATATATATATATATATATATATATATATATATATATATATAGGGAATTGTTATTGGCACTCCAAAAATCTCATTCTACACTCCAAACTTTCTATATTTGGAAAGAAAATTACACTTTTGAGGAGGGTAGAATGATATTTTTTGAGAAGGGGACTATATACATATATATTCACTGCGTTTTGGTGGCGGATTGTTCTTGTAGTTTTTTTTCCTTCAATCCACTGCAATTGAAGCTTAAATCCTTCCCCCTTCTTGTTAGTGTAGTTTAAAATATACACAGGTTTTTCCATCATTTGTAGCGGACAACAATGATGGTGAACTCCTATAGTAGAAATTCTTCTATAACAGTGAGGTTGAACGGTCTTATGATATTATTTTTCACTTACAAGTATGAAGTTTTAAATTCGAATCTCGTGTGTGACGAGTTCGATACCAATAGATTAAGGGAATTGTTATTTGTTTAGAGTATGAATCTCACAGTGGAAAAAAAGGGACATTGCATGTGTTTATAAATAATTGGACTACTCTTTATATTGCCAATTCGTTTTATAGTGAAACCTCAACTTTCTTCACCATATCAGAGTAGGTTGTCCCATGTGTGAAACACAATGGCCACACGTGCTCTACGTCATCCTATTTGTGTTGTCAACATGGAGCACGTGAGGCCATCGAGTTTCACACATTCCTCTGCGTCATCCTATTTGTGTTATCGACGTGTTAAGCTTGAAAATTTGACTCATGTGAGGGTGGCGTTTTGAGAGTATGAATCCCGCGTCAGAGAAAGAATGGACCTTATATGTGCATATAAATAATTATGCTACTTTCCATATTGTCAAATAATTTTATGGTAAAACCTCAACTTTCTTCATGTTAATTCAAATACTTATGTGTTTAATATTATATTTTTGTCAAAATTCTTTTGCATATGGGTTATGTCAACCTCCTATATATTGTATCCACTGTAAGTTATTAATTAAAGGAGTCATATTTCTACCTATGGTAATTCATTAATCTAATTGCGCATTTCAAAAATTTTATATTTAGAAGATGAAGAAAAAAAAAAAAATCTTTTGAGAGATGTACAATGAGTTTGTTGGAGTCACAATAACCACTAAATCAATAGCTGAATTTGGTAGAGAAAAAAGTTAGGGCAGTAGGATCTATCGTGGCGGAATAGAATAAGGACACGTGACAACTCATTGACACGAACAAAATTTCGAAAGCAACCTTGTCCTGTTCCTGAGGCCCTACCCGGCTACCCCTACTGCTACCCAAAAGACATGCACGATGTGCATAGTTGATTAATAGGTTGTTTGGACGTGTTTTTAAAATTATCGAAAGCGTTGTTGGTGAAAATATTTTTAGAATTAATTTTTAGTAAATATTCAAATAAATCTTAGAAAAACACTTAAAGTAATTACTAGAAGAAGTACATAACTGATTTTTTTTTTCAGAAAGCACTTTAAGTGCTTTTGAAACTTAAAAATATTTTCCCTAAAAGTGTTTTTAGTTATTTTAAAAGCACATCTAAATGAGCCTAAAAATATCTCCAATGGAGGTGTCAAAAGATAAATGTCAAATGTTAATTTGACAGGTGACATGGCAATGTCAAATTTTCTCTTTTTCCAACCGATATTTTTTTTTTGTTATAAATGATATTTGTAGGATCCATTTTGAAAAGAAATCAATTAAAAAAAAATTCAAGATCTATAATTGGTGCATTAATGATACCCACACAATAAAATTATTAGAAATAATTTGACATCACCTTTTCTCATATGTCAAATTTGACATATGAAAACTCATATGTCAATCCACATAGAACTGACATATCGGTTGGAGTTTGCTCTTTTTTTCAAATTTGATTACATAATATTTCACATATGATTTGACATCTCTTTTGAAGATGGTCTAAGACTTCACTAACCTTGTGATGCCAACGTGTTTGGGATCAACAGCTTTAATTTGTTAAACAATTTTCCCTAATTCATTTATTAATTTACTATTAATCACTAACCTTGTGAAGCCCACGTGTTTTGGATCACCAGCTTTAGTTTGTTAAATCATGCAAAGGGTGTTGAAGTGGATGGTTGAACCACCTTGGAACCGTGCAATGGGATTAGTTAAATCATGTAAAGGGTGTTTAAGTAATGTTAATTTGTGTATAATAATATTGTTTAGATGGGTTGCCTACTATTCATCAGATTCCAGTTGGATAACATAATATTTAACGTTAGATAGTAATTTGTGACGAGGCTGCATGATTGAATACTTTAAATGACTAATTAATCAGAGTGAGCCTTAATTAATCAAAATGGATTAGCTATTGAAATAAGATTCCTTAAGGAATCAGCCACTTAGAATGTGACGGAAACGAATAACGACGTGGTTTTAGTCATAAATCGTTAAAAATAATTCTCCAATTTAAATTTCATATAACTAGAGGTGCAAGTTGGAATGGTATTTTCGATTTTGATACTAGAATTTCCAAGTTCGAACTCAAAATTTTCTAATCCAAATATTTTCCAAAAAAGTTGGAATGAAAAGTAAAATGCACTTTGAAAATTGTGATCCAATCTGATTTTTTGGAACGAAAATTGGAAACGTTGTTTCCGAACTGATCCTTCTGAAAAACACCCCTAAATATAACCTTTGGTATTAAAATTCCTAAATATAACGTTGAGTCTCGGCTAATCAAACCTAGAATAACGAGACACGTGTTGCTTAGAAACCAAGGGAATTTCAACCTAGATAAAGTAATCAAACGGTGATGCTCGAAATCCGTTGTTTATTTACTCTTTTTTGTTTTCCTAATAGCTAGTTAGAATGGATCAAGATCAAGAGACAAGCATTTTTACGTTTGCTTTCAACCCTTACATCTATTTGCATCCAATTGTCTTAAATGAGGATTAAATGACTCATCCTAAATTATTAAACGATGTGGCAATGACATGAAAATTAAAATATAGTTCTCAACCGCATAATCCTCCATATTAATAGAGAAATAAAACCTTGTAAATCAAATCAATCCAAGGCCTCAATCCCTATATTATGTATTTTTTTTATTTTGAAGAAAATATGATATTTATTGATTTAGATTAAAATACGTACAAACAAACATTGAGGATATAGTGCAAACAATGGGTCTCGATAAAAACCTTAACGGAAATTTCATCTGTTTGAAGGAAAAGAGCGTCTTGCACCAATACAACTTACAATTAATTACTATTTTCATCAAGAAGGTCTAAGATTATATCAGGAGGTTCATCAAACCAAGTTAGAGTGTGAACGTTTACCCATGCCTCTCATCTGAAGAATTAATAATTAGATCATAGTTGCTTTCTCTGTGGAAAAAATTAAAATTAAAATTTTTATTTTCCATGTTATTGTCACTATCATTTAATAATTTAGGATGTTTAAACCCATCGGATGTAAAAAGGGTTAGGGATGGAGGCATTACTTTTGAGTCCAAGACTTTAAGATAAATAATATAAAAGGAATAAAATGTAAAAAATTTGGTTATTTGTAGGATGCATTAGAGATTATCTTAGGCCTTATGCTACAAATGTAACAACCTTACTTGAGCTTAGGATCCTAATCATTGTAAGCTTTAGTTGATGGTTTGGTGGTCCTAACTAAATGACAATTTGTACTCCGAACAATAACATGAATGAATGAATGATACGTATTATGCATTGCATACGCTGAAAGCTCAAACAACTGCTTTCGCAATGTACATCATCTCTAAGCTTTGAAACTTTGTCATTTCGATGGAATAGTCTAACTCTTTATAAGCATACGTAAAGTCATTTATCTCCTTGATATGGGATTTAGTATTTCCAACGCTCCACCTCACATGCGACATGCAAATTCTCAAGCCTTACGTGTGCATAACAAAAAATGGGTTATACGGACCAAGTGTTGTCATTGAGTTTTGCATATGGACCAATCTGCTTTGTTACCATAAAAAAAAAAATTGAGGTCATGGATATCCCAACTCTTTTTCTAATGTGAGATTCATACTATTAACTAATGTGAGGTCACGGATATCCCACCTATGGATATCTGCTGTGATGAAGCAAATAAGATAATAGCATCTCCAACGCCAAAATTGTTCAATATACCGATTTTTTGTAAGTATTGCTTTACTATTCAATATTGCTATAATAATGTGTGTTTTGTTATGTTTTCTTTTATATATTTTTTTAATTACATATGAAATTTACTAGGGTTGGGCAAACGGGTCTTGGGCCCGCGGGTAGGGGCGGGTATAGGCGGGTCGGGGCGGGTACGGGGCGGGTCCTGTTTTTAAATAGGGGAAACGGGGCGGGGCGGGCCTAGGTAATGGCATTCTAGGGTCGGGCCGGTTCCAGATTTATAGAAAAACGGGGCCCCGAACCGGCCCGTTTGTAATTGAAATGGACGGCCCAGATTGAAAATAAACATACCTTCCAATCATGACCGTTGGTTTTAGGTTTTAGTCTAAACTCCAACCCGTCTCTCTCTCCCTCCCTCTCTCTCGCTCTCCGTCGGTGAGAAGCAGCTGCAGCCATGGCGCAGTACAGCAAGGTCGCCCCGACCCCTCTGCTGAAGGACGAGCTCGACATCGTCATCCCCACCATCCGAAACCTCGATTTCCTCGAGATGTGGAGGCCCTTCTTCCAGCAGTACCACCTCATCATCGTCCAGGACGGCGACCCGTCGAAGGTGATCAAGGTCCCGGAGGGCTTCGACTACGAGCTCTACAACCGCAACGATATCAACCGGATTCTGGGTCCCAAGGCGTCCTGCATCTCCTTCAAGGACTCTGCTTGCAGATGCTTCGGCTACATGGTCTCCAAGAAGAAGTACATCTTCACCATCGACGACGATTGCTTTGTAAGTATCGCTTTTGGGTTTCGAAAACTTGGGATCTTAATTGGGGCTGTTTTGGATGTGGGATTTGATTTTTGAGTTGAAAAGGTTGGATCTTGGTGGGTTTTGGGAAGTGGGTTTTGTTGGGGTTTTCGAAATCTTGTTGTTCAATTGAATTTCGATTCGACTCGAATTGATTAGTTTGTGATGAAATTCTGTTGCTTTTGTTGTTTAGATCTGTTTCTGCTGCTAATGTTTGACTTACCCTCATCGTTTACTTTTGTTAATGAACTTTACTTGCTTTGATCTCTGTTTCTTTCGAGTCATATTTTAATATCATAGTTGCCTTTGGTTTGATCTGTTTCTTACCATGAGTTCTTTCCGTTAGTGTACTTAAAGTCTTGTGTAGAGATGTTGTTTGTTAGTCATTGTCTTCTGATCCGGTTTCGGTGATAGCATGAATTATATAATTGCAATTCTATGATATCGAAGCTTTTGAAAGATTTGTATTGTTTTCGTAAATCTTAGGTTCAGCACTAAGCTAATTGATATACTGTTTACTACATTCACAGATCTCCACCTTGCACTCGAGTCGAGTCTGTTCGAATTATTGTTAGATTTACACCTAAAAGTTTCGGCCCGTAAATATTGATTAAGATTAAAACGTTTAATTTCGGTTTCGTGTATTCGTAGTTTGAGTAGCTGGTGTTGTGTATTTGGAACTGTTGCTGGAATTAGCAATGTTATGGTGCTGCTAATGTGTTTCAGATTTGATCGATATCCTTAAAATTATTGTGAAATTGAGGTGTTATAACTTAAGTATGGTACTCTTTGTGAAAATGCAGGTTGCCAAAGATCCTTCTGGCAAAGATATCAATGCACTTGAGCAGCATATCAAGAACCTTCTGTCTCCGTCAACTCCATTTTTCGTCAGCAGGTGTGTGGTGCAGGGGAACCTTAAGATTGGAAGTCTCAGAGAAGTTGATGTTAAGTCTGGGCTTCCTGCCACTACAAGTACTGAAAGATTGGAACTTCTTGACGATGACGAGCATATTCTTAGCATTAAAATAATTGGTGGGGATCACAGACTTAGGGTATGAAGACTTTGATATGAAGTTCTGTGTTCACCGGAGTCTTTGCATATCCTTTTATAATTCAGCACATACTTCTCTTTTCCTTTTATTTGGTTGCACATTTCTCAGCATACAAGCTAAAAGGTTAACTAGTTCACAAGATTTTGATATGAAGTTCTGTGTTCACCGGAGTCTTTGCATATTAGTCTGCAGTTTTTTGTGCAGATTGCAATCTGTGAATATGTACAATTTTTTTTTTCTTTCAAACAACCAAAAAAAAAAAAAAAAATGGACCCGTGGACCCGGCCCGAACCGGCCCGTTTCAACCGAGCCGGGTAATGTCCGGTTCTTATATTAAAAAATGTAATCCCCGGCCCGGCCCGCCCCGTTCCCTTTGAACCTAGGTCCGGTCCGGTCCCTTCAAAATTGGGCCCGGCCCGGCCCGTGCCCAGCCCTAAAATTTACACTATAAGGTGGGGAGTGGGCCAAGCCTCATAAAGACGAATACAACTAGACCGTAATATTAAGTGACATGTTTTTTATATATTAAATCATGAAATTACCCCATTCCCATTCGTATCCTAAATTTTGACAAGGGTATTGGTTTCAACACACTCTTTTTTACGTTGTGCAACCCCTTGTTAATCTTAACTGTTGATTCTACTTAATCCCTTAATCTAACGGTTACGAAAATGAAGAATGTGTATGAGGTGAGAAACAATACGTTGAAATCTTGTTCCTTAACATTTACATTAAAATCCAAAAATATCTTCACCGAACGGAAAAGCAAAGTGAGTACACCACTACACTAGCCGCTTGACCCGAATGCAAAGTAGTAAACGGGTTGAGTAAAATGATAAAGAAAGCTGCTAGGGAAAGCTGCTAGGCCACCCTAGTGTCTTATTTCCCCAAATCACATTATAATCTCACCCACCGTAAAAAGTTAAAAATTTTAAATGCTATTTTTCCACTCACTATTATTCCAAAAAAAACCTGCAATATGCTATTGCTTCAGCCACCATTATTCCTAAAAATTGAAATGCTATTTACCTAACAATGAAGTCTCTTCCGAAATAATGTAACAACAAATGAATAACCCCCAACTGCTTGGCTACTGTGTGATTATGCATTTTAATAACTACCATCAATATCCAATTATTATCAGTTGTAGCTTCTTACCCTTTAATTGGAAAGGGCATTCACACTTTTTTGTTCCAGAATTCCTTCTATCCTCATCTTTTATGTCTTTTTAGCAAATTTGACTTATATTTTGTCCAATCCTTTGACAACCCAATGTAAGTCAGGCCTCATGTAAACTTTTTGAGCCCAACCTATTATTATATATCTATTAAGATTTTTATCGGTAATTTTGGAAATGGACTAATTTGTTATTAAAATTTCATTAAAAAGTGGATTAGGAGATACGACACTGGGTTAGGAGATGGGACAAATTTGTCTCTAAACGTATTACTACATATTTCAATAAGTTTAGAGACAAATATTCATAAATTGTTAATTTAATATTGTAATAAGTTTCAAGACAAATATTGACACACCTCGACTGGAGTCTAGACGTGCTGGCCGTCACGTGAGGGTGACTTAGCCAAGTGCCCAACAGAAGTGATAATTATGCGAAAACGTGGGTTATAATAAAAAGAAAAAAAACAAAACTCAAACTTATTTACACTAGAAATAAGTGTGTGAAAGTGAACATAACCAAACACAAGTATTCAGAGTATAGGTATCAACAGTGCAGTTAGACAAACAAAGTACAAATTATACAAACGGGGAGAAGATCCCTACAGTTATTTAGTAGATCATTAGAACCGCTGAGAAGTCCTTGTGAACCACTAAGATGTACAGCTACCTAGGACCTAGAGGGGCGCAAAACAGAAGGGTGCGTGGGCAAAAACAAAACGTTTGAAAACACATTTATTTTTTCTGAACATAATAACCCCTCACTGTAAAACCTGTATAGTCTCCAAAAAATAATACTATGTATATACATAAAATAATATGCAAGTCGAAGTCACCTAATGTGACCTGTACGACTAGATCTATAACTCATTAATATATGCTAGCACACGAGTCGGAACCACCTATTGTGGTCTATACAACAGGGCTAGGTGTAATATGTACGCTCAAGTACAACGATCACGTGAAGGTTGTGCGAATAATCGCGGGTCACCTATGAGTCGGAAACACCTATTGTGGTCTGTACGATAGGGCTAGCACCAAACTTAGATCCAAGGTGAGCCTACGGTGCGGGAGGTGAGCATCACATGAAAAACTGTGCCTTGGCCTCGGGCGGGAACACTAACACTAGGGTGCAGCAATGATGAGCTCTAAATGCATTTATGCATAACAATGTGCAATGCAACCAATACCATCACAATATACTCACCTGAAACTTACCTGGGCCTCCGCAGCATCAAACAATATAATTCACGATGTATAGTAATGCAATACTTAAAATGTAACTCATTTTCGACATGGCGTTTATAGCATAAATCATTTTAAAATGTTCTGGAAACCACAATACACACACACACACACACACACATATACATATATAGAAAGCAAATGCCCACTCATTGATAAGTAGCAAGATCGTAGCCCCCTAATCTTGCTCGTCCATGCTCGCCCTTGGGGTACGTCTCACATGATGCCGTTAGGAATATTCCATTATCTTTGACGGAATATTCTCCTTCTTTTCCAGACACTCCGTCGGTTTTTGCCGTCCGTCGTCATTTGTACTCGCTGAAAACTATTAGAGGTCCAAAATCCAACGAAAAACGTCGGAAAAACCTTCGAAAGTTCATGCCAACTATGTACCCTCTCAAGCTTGCCTATTCCGACGTCCACTTCACTCTAAAACTACTCCAAAATGCTAAGGAAGTTGATTGGAAGCTTCCTCAATCCTTAAAACTTTATGAATCGTCCGCAATCACGTCGTCCAAAGTTCCACCATGACGGAGGTCAAGAATCAACAGGTCAACATTTACCAAAACAGAAAACTAAGGGTATGGTGATGATCGTGAAGTCGAAAGGAGGATGATGATGGTCCTTATAAGCTCGATCTCTGCCGATTTAGTTAAGCTTGCGAGCTGGGGCGTCTTGGGTGTATGGACGGAGAGAAGAGTCGAGAAGGAATGAGAGAAAAGGTGAGGGTGTACGTGTGCGTGTATGTGTGATTGGCAGAAGAATAAAATAATAAAATCTGATTGGGCCCAAGAGAAAACAAGCCCATATAATTGGTTCGTAATTACTCGTTTACGCACTTCAATAATCGTAACTTCCAAGTTACGACCCGATTCGAGTCTAACTCGCGTCAACGTACTCGTGACGTTGAGCACGATTTAATTACGATAAGGAGGAAGATAATTTAAAACTGCATATGTACATCCATGTCACTAAGCTGCCGAGCACATAATAGTCATCTTACATACTCGGGGAGGAAATTATAATGAAAATTGGAATGGATCGTCATAGTCTACCCTCTTAAGAAAATTTCATCCCCGAAACTTCTAGACATCAACAACACATCAATAACCATAAAATAGATGTGGATATAGGTCTCGCATACACTCTTCAGTTTCCTAGGTGGCCTCCTCGACTGAATGGCTCCTCCACAAAACTTTCACCATACGAACGGTCTTGTTCTGAAGAACCTTATCTTTCCAATCCAAGATCGTCACCGGTTCCTCATTGTAGGCCAAATCTGGATTAATCTCTAGTGGTTGAGGAGGGATCACGTGCTATAGATTAGAGACATAGTGACAAAGTATAGATACATGGAAAACATCATGTACCTTTGATAACTCTGGAGGTAGCTCAAGCCTGTAGGCAACTTCACCAACTCGCTCAATGATCTGATATGCTCCAATATACCAAGGACTTAACTTACCTTTCTTACCGAACCATACCACGCCTTTCCACGGAGATAACTTTAGAAATACCCAATCTCCAACTTTATATACTCTGTCAGTGGCATGTTTATCGACGATACTCTTCTGTCGATCCTGGGCCGTTTTCATGTTAGCTTTAATCACTTGGATATTTTGTGTAGTCTCATCTATAATCTCAGGGCCCACTAGCACTCCATCGCCAACTTCAGACCAACATAACGGAGTACAACATGGTTTACCATAAAGTGCCTCAAAATGTGACATACCAATACTAGAGTGAAAGCTGTTATTATAAACAAACTCGATTAAAGCTAAACGCTTATGCTAAGCGTCTCCAAACTTCAAAATCGAGGCTATCAACATATCTTCTAGCATCTGAATGGTTCTCTCAGATTGCCCATAAGTCTAAAGGTGAGAAGCCGTGCTGTAGAGCAATCTCGAACCGAGAGCTTCTTAGAAAGCTACCTAAAATTTAGAAGTGAACTTAGGATCCCGATCAGAAATGATACTAACTAAAACACCATGGTACTTGACAATTTCTGAAATAAATCGTTCTGCCAACTGACTCAACGAGAAATTTTCTCGAACGGATATGAAGTGTGCTGACTTGGTGAGTCGATCAATTATCACCTAAATACCATCATAACCATTCCGCGTATGAGGTAGCTTGTACACGAAATCGATGGTAATACCATCCCATTTCCACTGAGGTATAGGAAGTTGCTGTAATAACCCAAAAGGTTTCTTCCTCTCTGCCTTGACTTGTTGACATACTACATAGCGACTCACAAATTCAACAATATCTCTTTTCATACCAGGCCAATAATAGAAAGATGGAATAGTGTGATACATCTTGGTACTCTCAGGATACATCACATAAGCCAAAACATGCGCCTCATCCAGTATATCTTTCTTTAATTCTTTAACATTAGGCACGTACATTCGATCGCCCTGCATCAGTATACCATCAAAATTCCTAATCCTGAGATCTTTCTTTTTCTCGTCTGAAACTGCATGAATTAATTCCTGAGATTTTACATCATTCATTTGAGCCTCGAGCACACGATCTATCAAGATTGGTTTGACTCGAAAACTAGAAAGTAAGGCTTCTTCCCGATCTTCCATTTCTAAATCAACTTCAGTAGATCTCAATTCAGTGAGGAGAGGAATACGACATGCATGTAGAGCATTAATTCGGCTGCGTGATTTTCTGTTAAGTGCATCTGCCACTGTGTTCGCATTACCGGAATGATACTCAATCATGCAGTCGTAATCATTGAGCA